AATTCATATGAAATTAGAAAAACAATGGAATCCTTTGAGGAATGTTTATGTAATAAGACTCTGCAAAGGAAGGATGGCTCTTTTTTTTCTTGATATTTATTTTTTAGTTGTAGTTGGACACAATACCTTTATTTATTTACCTGTGGTGCTGAGGATGGAACCCAGGGCCTCGCATATGCTAGGCAAGCGCTCTACAGAGCTGCCAAGGGCCCAGGGGAGCTGGGACGGTTCCATGAAAATCACTCAGTGGTGGATCTGAGAGCTAAAGGCCAAAGACAAATCGGAGGACTTTCATGGGCTGCTGAGAGAGGGACACGAGGTAGCACCTCCACGAAAGGGACAATCGGGCCTGACGGGCGAGCCGCCCCTGGGGAAAGGGGCTTCCAACAGCCAGTCAAGAGAGGGCTTGTGTCCAGATTGCACAGGGACGCCTGGACATCTGCGGGCAGGAGGGACCGCACGACAGAAGAGTGCACAGCACATGGGCAGGCACATCCCCAAAGAGAAACCAAGTGGCCGAAAGGAAACAGAAAGATGTCCAGCTCCATCATGCAGTCACGGGAGTGAAAACAAACACCATGAGATGACGAACAGCACCCACCAGACTGGCTATGTGGGTGCTAAGTATTAGTAAAGATGTGACTCAGCAGGACCCTATAAGCAAAGAAGGACTGCTGGGGGTATGACTTGGTACAAGCACCCGGAAGACACCTTGCGCCATCTATTAATGTGTGAGGCACGTGAAGCCCGATGTCTGGGTGTGTCCTAGAGGAACACATTGTGGAAATCAAGTGCTCACGTGCACAGGGCTCGTATGTAAGTAGGTCCAGGTGGTGCTGTTTATCCCTGGATGGGAAACAACCCAACGTCTGTGGTAGTGAACATGATGATGTAGAAGGAAGGGTTCAGGATGACTCCGTGCGTCGCTCAGCACGCTGTGGGGAGGAGGGGCTCCCTGGAGTGTGTGAACCACAAGACCCATTTTGATGTCCAAATTCACACCACCCATGTGGTCCCCAAAGCCTCAAGCAGAGGCTTACACTTCAAGTGGTCTCAACTTGACAGTGCCCAGGTGATGGGCAGAAGCTGATACAGATTTAGTTGTAAGGCACCCTGCGTGAGAGACACACTCTGATTTCATAGCTGTGAACATGTGAAAAATGTGCTTAGAATTGAGAAATAAGGTAGAGATTCCAATTCAAGTAAAGTGGAACTATGAACTTCTGGGTGAATGAACACACCCTTGTTGACGGCGTCTCCGCCTCCCAAGATCTCCTGGAAACACAAGAAGGGAAAAGTAATACCACACAGAGACTCTGACCCCAGTGTAGTACAGAGAATGCCCAAACCTCAAAGTCACGGTACGTAAAAGAAAAGCACATCAGTCCGGTGCGCAAACGCAGCTCTTCCCCAAACACACCCCAGGGCAAGCAACAGGGTTGAGGCTGAGCTAGACTACCTTTAGAGGACTATCCACCCTACGTGGATTAATACTGGGGGGGGGCGGGGAAGTGTCCTAGGAGCTCAGAGCTCCAGCCACTCGGAGGAACTTAACAGTATGCTTAATCTGAAGGCCCGTCCTCAAAATCAGTTTTGAGGAGAAAAAGGCAAAAACAAACAAACAAAGCATTCCAAAACCCCAAACCAAGAATTAAAACCAGGAGAGGTAGCCTTTAGAAATTGGGTGGTGAAAAGGAAATCAGGGAGATGGAAAAATGTAGGGTCCTGCAGAGAAAGGAGAACCCAAACAATCAGAGCACGCACAACCCATTTGCATACCACAACTAGTCTACTAAATCATCTGGCCTTTGCTATACTGACAGAAGAGGGTGCCATTGACTTGAAATCCTATAAAACACTCCACTAGCACAAGCATAAATGGGAACAAAATTAGCAAATCTGCAGAGCTATAGTATAAAACAAGAATCAACACCTATAAAATGAAGAAATTCCCCCTGAAGAACAATCATGATACAGAAGAACCCCTAAAGACACCCATTCCAAATGTAGTTTAATATGCTCAAACAAGCATTTAAATACATGAAAAACCACCTTGAATCATAAATTTGACAAAGAACAAAAAACTTCAATAAGAACTGAAAAGAGAATCGATTGAATTCAGTAAAGTGGAAGAATTGAAAAAAAAAACTCAGAATAAACAAATATTAAATGGTGTTCATGAGAGAGAAGACTCAAGTGAAAATTTAATAAGAGACATTTAGGAAGGCAGAAAAACAGCTAAGAGGATGACTGTGAGTTTATGGAAGAAGTAAAAGGGGAAGAGAGACATAGAACTCTAATATAGGGAGAGTAGCATTGGTCCTACTGGAGTCCCCAAAGAAGAGAAGCAACAGTGGGTAAAGCTGTATTGAGAGCTGTAAGCAAGAAAATGTCCCAGAAATATCAGTAACAGCACAGAGTCCTGAATTACAGAGTCAAAGAATGCACTAGGTACCTGAGAACATTAGCCCAGAACATTAACAGACATTTCCTCATAAAATAGTTAGATTTCAAAGATTAAAAAAATCCTCCAGGTCTCTAGGCTAAAAGATCAAATAACTTACAAAGGTAAAAAATTGTTATCAGACTTAAAAAAAAAAAAACAATACAAGGCAATGTTACAACAGCACTTAAAATACTTGCTGATGGCAAGGGTGAACCAAGGGTTTTATACCCAGCCCAACTGCCCTTCAAATGCACAACTTCCAGCCTAGAAGGACATGAAGAGCCCGGAAACCAGGTGCCTTTTCTTGGGAAATCTGTCAGGGAACGAACTTTGCTAAACCATAAGATGGCCAGAAAACGTCAGCATAGGGATGATGGTGAGTGTGGTGACACACACTGGAGGTGAACGCTGAGGTGGGCTGCACAAATTGGGTGCAAATCTACATCCTTTGATAAAGTGCAACTGAAAAAAAGGGAAGTATGGGGAGGAATAAAGAGAAAAATGGAATAACGTCACTGATTGTTGTGTAGAAACTGGATAGGGTTAAAGCAGATCCAATAAGAGGAATAAGCCAGGTATTAAGAGGTCAAACAATGAAATAGGGGGCTTGGGGCATTAAAACAGGTCAGGAGGACGGGGCTGTAGCTCAGTGGTGGTGTGCATGCATGCATGAGGCCTTGGCTTCAGTCCCTAGCACACACATAGAAAAAGAAAAAGTAAACCCAGCAGGTCAGAGCACAAAAATAACAACTGGAATGAAATCACGACACTTCCTAAACTAAAAAAAGAATACATCTTATAGAAAAGTAATCATATCAAATATAGCAAAATACAACGACAAAATGTTATGAAAGACTGATCATCCACACATCAATGGATATCACCTGTTAAAAAAGATTTTAAATTTGGGTTACAATACCAAAGCACTATATAATACGCTACCTAAAACAGGGATTCTGCAAAGTACACCAGGCCAGGTGGGAAGAAACGAAGTCAGGGTAGTTAGATCCTGATAGCAGACAGAGTAGAATCTAAGTCCCCCAAGCACTCAACAGGACAGAGCAGAGCACCTTTAATGTTAAGGGTCATGTTTTTTTTTTTTTTAATTTTTTATTTGTTTTAATTAGTTAAGGGTCATGATTCATAAGTAAGAAATAACAGAATATGCATGCACTAAACAACACAGCAACATGTGTGAGGTCAGTAACTACAGGAGGTGGAAGGACACAGAGACACATGAATGTTCCTTTAGTTAGACTTCAACACATGTCAGTCCAGGGGACAGGGGACAGAAAGGAAGTCGGATGTAGGGGACGAAGACACCATGATTGGCAAGGTAAGCCTTGCAGATGCATATCCAACTCAACCCCAGGCAACAGAAAATGCACTTTCTTCCTGAGGACCCACAGAACACTCACAACGCAGTTTTCAGGACCAGCCAACCCAATGAAGGAGAAGCATGATAGACCCCCTGATCACGATGCAATAAGGCGAGAAGTTGCTGACACACAACCCAAAGGTGCCTGCACATGGGCACCAGCAATCTTCCCAGAAAGCACTGCTGGGTGCTGGGAGCTTGTGACCTCTCCTCTGCTGGCTCCCGCATGTGCAGCAGAGAGGGCGGCGAGGTGAGCCGCTGAGGGAAGGGCCTGGGTATGTGCAGGGAGGGAGGGGATGCTGGGTGGTGGAACGGCATCAGGGAGCAGGGTGAGCCAGGAGAGGGGCTGCGAGAGGTGGGCACAGTGGCAGCTACAGCTTCTGAAGGGTGGCAGCTTGTTGGGTACCCAAGGGAGAAGCCATAAAGGTGGGAGGGGGAAGAAAGGGGTCAGGGGAAGAAAGTCTTGAAATTGGTGACGACCAAGTCTGGGCCAGGACCATGGGAGTGGTAGCTGCGGGAGGATGGAAGGCAAGATAGCCAGGAGAGGGAGACCCGGGCAGAAGTTGGGGAGGGAAGAGCAAAACTCCAGTGTCACAGCAGGAGTCTCGCAAGAAGGTGTCCCTGTCTGGGAGCTACACCCTGGAGGAGTGAGCATGGCCCAGGGCGGTGTGTGGTGGATGGGTGGCAGGTGGTATGAACTGAGGACATGGGAAGCAGAGCTGGGACTCTGGGGGGAGCAGCCATGCAACAAGGACCCTAGCCACCTCCAGATCCAGGGTCCAAAGGCTGTGGGAGAAAAGCCGGCCTCACTTGAGAGGCTGTGGTGGCTGCTGGGGGTCCTCGGAAGAGTAGGGAGAGAACGTCTAGAGACGATGTGGAGACAGAGGGGACTTTGCTAATGGATGGCGAGGTTTGGGGGTTTTTCCAGGAACACTCAGGGTCCTGGGACCCCCTCACCAGGTGAAGGGTGGGGGGCTGGGGCAGGACGTGTTGTATGGAATGCTGACAGGTGGTGAGCAGCGCTTCCCCAGTGTCCCTCCCAGGAGGGCAAGTGCTCCCTCCCTGCGCCCAGCACCTGGGCTCCCTGTGCACTCAGGAGGGCACCCAGGAGGGCACAGGCCATGCCCCTGCCTGGGGAGGATGGTGGTGGGTAGTGAGGGAGGGAGGGCCGGGCACCTGTCCAAGGGCATGGAGAAGTCCAGGAAGGCAGCCACCAGCTCGGGGGTGTGGTTCCTGGCCAGCAGGGTGATGGCGGACAGGGCATTGTCTTTGGCTTGGGGGATGCGGACAGAGCAGAGGCGCAGGTGGATGCCCCAGCCCATGTTAGCAACCTGTGTGAGGAGGGAGAGGTCAGTGGGGAGGCCCTGCCCTGGGGACTCTGACAGGGGAGGTACAGCCTCCCTGGAGCAACTGGTCTGACAGGAGACAGGCCCACTGCCTTGGGGGCCTTTGAGAGCTTAGCACTCCCCTCAAGGTCTGGCAAGCAACCCCCTCATCCTGTCCCAGACACACTGCTCCGGTGCAGGCTGCTCTGGTGCCTGGAGCATCCTGACCCTTCTGCTTCGAGGTCGGTTACACAGCTGTGGAGGCCCAGCTTCCACATCACGGCCTGCAGGACCTGGCATGAGCTGTCCTCTGGCTGGGGGGACCCCTCCTTTCCCTCTGGGCCCACTCTGCACCTTTGCATCTACTGGCCATCCTATCTCCGTCAGTTGGAGAGCTCCCGAGGGTCGGGTCTGTCCCTTTGCCCCATTCCCCCCATAGGGTCACAGCAGGCTCAGCCACTGCACGTCTGCTCCCTGGCTTGCAGCCACCACCAGGCTCCTCACGCTTGCTTGGACCCTTCCCTCAGGCATTCCCTCTTTTGGCTCTGTACAGGGTGGCTCTGGCTTCCCCTTCTGGGCCCAAGCTCGGGGCTCCTGTCTTGGCCTGGAGGGTGCCCCTGGATAGTGCCCAGCCCTGGGTGGTGCCCCAACCCCTCACGGTCTCCAGCTTGGCCTCGTGCTGGTGGATGACAGCCAGCAGCAGCTCAGCGGCCGCCTGCACGCGGAAGGGACTGGAGGAGCCCAGGCCACTGATGGCCGTCCAGATGAGGTCCGTCACCTCTGCCATCAAAAGATGCCTCATGATCTCCTGTGGGAATGGAGAGGCCATCACTGGGTCCTGTGTCTGGGCACCCACTCCCCCACCTCTGCGTCTACCCTGTCCTTTGCCCAGGCTCCCTGGGTCTCCGAACACCCACTCCTCCACGTGCCCCCCACCAGGCATTTGCAGTTAACTGCTGTCACATCTCCCTGCACAAACTACAACCCAGAGCACAGCAAAGGACAGCAGGTCTCCTCCTCTCCTCTGCCTGTCCTTGCCTCCTAGGGCATCCTCATCTGCTGGCCTCAGCCCGGAGGGGAGCTCTCCATGGCCAGGCTCCAGTTCTCAAGAGACACTGAACTTCAGAGTGTGCAGGGTCTTTGAGATCACCTGGACCAAGTCCCAGGCCTAGAGAGGTGTAGGGCCCACCCTCAGCCACAGGACAGGGTGGCGATGGTGGGGTCAGCCTGGGTAGGGCCAGGCCAAGCCCATGTAGGGCCTCCCTAAGACCTCAGCTCTGCTGGCCACGAGTATTCTCCCAGAGACCCTCGAGGTCTAGGGAGGGGCTTACCTCTGCAAGCTGACCATGACAGCTGCCCAGAGGGAGGAAGGGCACTAGGGGATGCAAGGTGGTGAGTATGACCCTTGCACCATAGCCTCCTGGAGGGTGGAGTTGGGCCAGGGCACTGCACAGGCAGAACCTTCTAGAATGCTTTAGAACATTGCTGCTCAACATAGTAGCCACCAGTCACCCATGGACTATTTGAATCTATCTAATAAAAAAGTTCAGTTCCTTAGAAGCACCAGACACATTTCAAGTGCTCACTAGCTTTACAGGCCAGCGACTGCCTTGGACAGCACAGATGTTGAACATGTCCAGTCTCCCAAAAGGTCAGGTTGGAATGGTGATTTGACTCTGAGAATCCTAGAATATACACCTCAGGGTTGACAAAGACTTTAGGTATCCTGCTTTTACTCAGGGAGGTACAGTGAGGGCAGAGTTAGTCGTGGTAGTGACGAGGATGGTGTGGGGTCATAGTAATGGTGGTGGTGGTGATAGTGATGGTGGTGATGATGGTGGTGATGGCAATGATGATGGTGATGGTGATGACAGTGGTAATGATCATGGGATGATGGTAAAGATAGCAACGATGGTGATGGTAGTGATGATGACGATTATCGTAGTGATGATGGTGATGATGATAGTGATGATGACAAAGGCATGATATATCCAAGGTCACAAGAGTAATCAGGGTCACATGAGAACCTAGGCCCAGAGTATCTGTTCTCCAGCTGAACCTTCCTAGATCTGCTATCCTATGATTAGTAAACCCTTCCATATTTGCCCCTCTTCCTGCTCTGCCTTTTGTCCAGGGAGAACCAGACTTGGACACCCACATTCTGTGTGAAGGTACCAAGCAGCATGGAGCAGTCTGTCCTTCTCCAGGTCTTGAACACTATGCTCTTAGTGGCTCAGTTACATTCTCTGTTGGCCTGGTGATAGTGGTGGTGATGGTGGTGATGGTGGTGATGGTGATGGTGATGATGGTGATGGTGATGGTGATGGTGGTGATGGTGATGATGGTGAGATGGTGATGGTGCTGATGATGGTGATGGTGATGATGGTGATGATGGTGATGGTGATGGTGGTGATGGTGATGATGGTGATGGTGATGGTGGTGATGATGGTGATGGTGATGGTGATGGTGGTGATGGTGATGGTGATGGTGATGGTGATGGTGGTGATGGTGATGATGGTGATGATGGTG